AAAAACTTCCCCGACGTGTTATAAATAGAGATGTACCAATACCACTTTTGTCGCCGATACCAGCTAAAAACGCCGATACCGATACTACAAAAAGGCCGATATTACCGATGTTCCGATACCGATACTATGTAATAATTACTTAATTAGGTGTGCTGTGTAGGTCAGACGGGTTAAAACAATGATATTTGAGCGTTGTTCATAGTACACATTATTTCAGATCGAAAAAAAAGATATATATATCACATAATATAAAACTAATGTTTGGTGTTTGCTTCAACTGATTAAGATACATTGTACAGTAACGCTAGTAATCTCGGTGTTCAATTAGAAAACTCATAAGCCCGATGTCCAATTTGAACTTAATATGAATATCGCGACCTTCGAATATCGTTGTTCGTGTTTAAAAGAATATCGAATATCACCCACACATTCTAGCGCCGCCGTCCTACGTTCAAATTGAAAGCATTTTACAAATATTTTATTTTGTGGCTAATCGTAATCGTCGACGCAATAAGTCAAAGCCAAAATGAAAGAGTATCAATCAGCACCGACAAAAAGAAGGCCTACCTATAACCGTCGAGGATGATTTTTTACCTTACTATTTTATAATATAAAATATTTTACAATTGCTATCATATATTTTGAATTTCGGACTTTAGTTTATCGATGTCGACGGACTAAATGACACTCGTACTTGACGACAAACAGTCAGAATTTATACCTGTGACAAAAGTCCATGTGCCGTTAATAAGGACCCCAATTCTACTGTATGATTTGAAACTGGGCGCCTAGTTGCTTTTTGTTATGTTCTGTGTTGATATATTTCTTCATAATTACTATGTAATATTAAAAATGTCAATATTGAAATTTGACAGCAAAAATAGCCAAATTAGTTGAGCTGATGAATAGCTAAAAACACGTGAATCCTATTCTCTCGCGGGGGTGGGGACATGTATGGCTCATAGCTCACGATCTCTCCAGACAAAAAATAAATTAAAAAGTAGTATTCCAACTTATCTTTTAAAACATTCTGGACCATATCAAAAAGATAAATATATCGGAAATATCGGCCTTAATTTAACCGATACCGATACATGGCCGATACCGGAAAAATGGCCGATATTGCCGATACCGATACATCGGTACATCTCTAGTTATAACAGTGGTTCTTAAACTTTTTCGAGCGCGACCCAAATCTGAGTTTTATGAATACTCGCGACCCAATCCTAAATAACGCAAAATGTGTTTTTAATGTTAGTACAGTTTGACTCAAATACAGACAACTATTTATTAGAAACAGTTCATAAACTCAGTGAGATTGATGGAACTGAAATTTCCTTTTCATTATATCTTCAATACACAGCTCTATTTTACTTAACGCAATACGCAAGTTGTCACGGGTATCGAGGCGATTGCGAGCTTAGTTTTGATAACCGTCAGTGCCAAATATCCTCGCTCGCACAAGTGCCTTGTCGCGAATTGTAGCAGGAAAGGCGTCCGCTGTCCGTCGCAAACACGACATCCTGGCTGGCCTTCGGTATCTCTCGTAATATACAACTTTTTACTCATCAAATGTGCACACACTGCTTCGTTCGCGGTAAATGGTGCCTCGAGATGAAGTCACATTTTCTCTAGATATTGAATAATCTAATGTCGAGAAGCGAGCTTTTGCATTGCGTCGTCTATTACAATTTACATTACCAAAAAGACACCCATTTATGGTTATTTTAATCCACCAAGACGACATTCCACGCGGTCAACACAACGACAAGCGACGTGCATGGTTATTGGTTACCGATACCATAAAAATAATACACGTGACTGGCATATAAGAATTGTGATGTAACAATGAGCTCAAGACAGTTCTTTCCGTGAATGAAATTTTATATTTCATTATTTGTAAATACCATAGTTTAGAAGCTAAATTAAAACATTGGGAAAGCTGAAAATTCTTCCTTCTCCTCTTAGATTGCCTTTGCATTGACGACCTTGTCGCGACCCATTTTTAAACCTTCCGCGACCCATGTTTGGGTCGCGACCCATACTTTAAGAACCACTGAGTTATAAATACTGCAAGTCGGCGCTGACTTGAATCATTTCATGTCGGCAGTCATTTATTGCGCGTCGCAAAAAGTGTCTCCGATTACGATAAAACATAAAATAATTGTAAAATGTTTTCAATCAGAACGTGGACGGCGGCGCTAGGACTTGTGCGCGATATTCAATATTCTTATAAACACTAAAAACGATATTTGAGAGTCGCAATATTCGAATATTAACTCCGAATTGGACATAGCTGAATAATACCTTGACTGATTTCTGATTGCATTTGCTATGACGTCATAATATCCGTTTCGGAAGTCGAAACAGCGCCGTTTCGACATATCAGTGTTTCGAAACGTATTGAAACAGTGTTTCGAACGCCCAGCCCTAGTCCTGAGTCTAGTTATAGTACATTTCATAAACAACATTGAACTTATTATTGTAACCTAACAAGTCCATGCACCTGAAACAAATAACTGGCTATGTATTGGTAACCACAAACCCGATATGGACTGGTAACTGGACAAAAGTCGGTGGTCTTATCGACTTTTCTCTTCCCGGAACGAAGATGTAAATCCTACTCTAAATCTTAACATTAAATAATACCTGTGTCGGACACAAGCATCTGAGTCAAAAGTCACAAATCAGAGGCAACTTTTGAGTTCGAGTACGAAGACTAGTACTGTACACAAAATTCACCAAGTCAAGTCGGTACTGTTGGTAATAAAAAGTAAAAGTAGATTCATAAACGGCATTGTAATGATAGAAGTGTTGGGCACAAGTCCGCATCAGTTTCAGAGTCACAGGAAATTTTTAGTTTGAATGTAAATTTTTTTTTTATCTTCAGTCATAAGTCGTTTGGAATAACATGTGAAAAACGGGACCTCCAGAAGTATGTGCACCAACATGGCGCAAAAACTGGACTTAGTAGTTGTACCAGGTTATGGTTCAGGCTGTGCGCCATTTTTTGCTCATACTTTAAGAGCGCCGAAAAAGGTTTTATCAACAACTTTAAAATGGATAAATATGAATCAATAGGAATATGCTCAACGCCCTGCCATTGTAGGATGGTTTGTTACAGCTTCCTCCACAACTTCAACTCATAACATTCAAGTGGCAGACACAGCGGGTCCCAAACTTTTTGATCATGCGGCGCGAAATTATCAGGGAAAAATCTCGACCTACACAGAAAATGCTGCTTTCATATAAAACTCATTTTTGTTATCGTTAATGTGTATTTTATGCCTTTTGAAAATCGTAAACACGTAGGCCTGAGAAATAAAGGCAAAATGTCAACCCTTCTCCTCGGTTCTGCCTTTGTTTTTTGAAATGCTAAAACAATCACTCATGTTCGTTAAACTCGGTTCAGTAGATAAATAAACTACAGCTCAAGAAATTGCAGCAAGTAGTGTCTATCTCTGTTGTTACACAACTCTACATAACAGAAAGTAAACAACATAAAAAAGTAAAATGAATTTAAGAATTCATGTATACAGCATTCAAAATATGTTTTAACACAATTCTGGTAATTTTCACAACACACTCGGCAAACCGTGGCGCACCTTCTGGGAACCGCTGGGTTAACCCATGAAATTTAACACTAATCTCATATTTTGTTATCGGCCCTTCGGGATCGGTACCAACCTGTTCTGTGAATGCCATGATGATCAACAAACTCGTTTCTCAGAGCTGAAATTTTTTTCGAAATTAGAAAATCTGTTTTTATATTCAATACCAAGAAAAACCACCTGGAGTTTTGAATTCCACTGGGCACCTTTATCAGTATTTTTGAAAACTGTGTCATTGTTTTATATTCGCATAAAAACTTATAAAAAACATGATTCAATTTAATAAACGTAAAACACGCAACCTTGCTTTGAGCAAACTTATATTAAAACATTTATGATCGCTTTTTAAAAAACCCGGCAGGTTGTTTGCATTCGGTAAAAGTTATAGTTGAAGATTTTGTTGTTATATCAGTTATTACAATCTCATTTTCGGTCCAGTTTGGGTCAGATTTTGTAGTGAGAACTTCGTTATTGTCATTTAATAAATTATCTTTCCATTTCCTTATTTTTGCAGGAATTCGACCCCTACCACGACCTCTGACACTTGACCCAAACATAGTTCGCATTCCAGGTTTTCGTATGAAATTTCTCCTCCCCAAAACTCTTGTTGGGTTTAAAGTACGTCTTGTAAATCCGAGTGAACCAGATGCAATATTGATTCCACGACCGCGACCTCGTATACGTCTTATTTTCTTAAATTTTGAAACTGTAGAAATTTCTGCGAAATCATCCAGACGGTATTTATTTTTACTCTGTGATAGGCGACCAGATTTCCTTTTCGTGATAGCATTAGAAACAGTCTCCGTACGGACAGTGAAACCAGTTGATTTTGATTCATTTTTAGCTTCATTTTGAGCTAAATCAGTTTCTGTTAAGTCTAGTTCATTATTTGAACCCACATCTTCAATATTTTCCTCAGTCTGGACGAGATTCGAACCCTTGTCGATGTCATCTTGTGCATGATCACTTTCCATGTTAATGTCTTCTTGAACTTTATCTGTGTCTGATTTTGATACATCCTGTGTTAACAATCGCTTCGGTTTCGCCCCTCGCTTTTTCGGACCTGTCTCCCCCTCTTCTTCCTGCTTTTTGAAGATTTGCAACAGTCTGGTATCCAGAATATTCTCTCTCGCTCCCATGTGTTAAATTTAGTCGGCCATCCCTTCCCATTTTACCAAGTATTCGACACGTCCTTTTTTAATCCTTTTTCGCATCAACATTTCTGCAGCAAATACCCCCTCACCGACATCACTGAGTTCCATGTTTGAAACTGCAACTCTTCAAACTGTTCAATTTATACCATTAAAATGAGGCTTATTATTGATGGAGAACCGGGGAACTTTCAGTCTTATTAAAAATACTATTTAACCTAATATCTGCAAACAATCATAAATATTCCGATTAACATAAACAATAATAAGAATAAAAACGAGAATAAAAAGTTATTGATCATAAAAAAACCACACACCATCAAATTATTACCATATGGTATTTTATACAATCTCTATTCAAGCCTTTGCTTTGAGCAATGCCCTTTACTGGGATGTATCTACTGATATCTGTAATGCTAAGTAGGGAACTACTATATTTTGGAAGGACCGAAAGCTTTATGTTCTGGCATAACCCACCGAATTTATTGGTACTTCAGATGTATTCGAACCAAGATGGCGGACACCGGAACATAGTTTGTGTACCAGGTTAGTGTCGGCTATAATTTCAGGTACAAATACTACGGGAGTCACTCGGCTAGTCCCTTAACTCGTAACAGAACTAAAATAAGAAAAATTGGAATAAAATTATGGCCTAACCCTAATCTGGTACACATACTTCGGGAGTGCCCATTTATTATGAACTGGGCTAAGGAACCAGGATTTGAGATTTAATGAGCTTTCAGTTCATTACACATTATGAGAAGTAATCAACGAATACCAAGCAATAGCTTAGGCATATAGCTGAATTTTTAGTGCAATCAGAGTTATGCAATTTGCGTTTTAAACTCTGCCTATATGTAAAGATATACCAATCCTAGCCAAATCTTCAATCAGTATTTAGTCAAGGTTAGAGCATATTCAATAAAAGCAGCAATAAAGTAACGAACGTATCAGTAACATCAGGAATAAATTGATAATAAGTCATTTTACAAGTCAAAAGGAATAAAAATTATTTCAATTATTCCATAACTAGACAAGAAAACCAAGGTTAGATATAAAAACATCTTATAACTTTGAATTCATTCTGATTTACATTCGGCGAATATAGTAAGGACATTATAGGGAATTTATGCAATTTGATAAAAGGTTCTACTTCAAGATTCAGAATTTTTTTTCTATTCGTTAATTTTTTTAAAGTGATATTGGGATATTTCATACCATCAATGAATATTCAATCTATTTCATTCACACAGACCATATCAAAATAGATACAGCACTTAGAAATTAATTTTTCAAAAATTCATAATGAAAACAATATAACTGTCAAATTTTCAGAATGATAATTGGTATAATTCATAACTTTGATTTTGAAAAATAAATCCATTTCTATTATTAGAAACAAATGAATGACAAATTTAATTACGAAATTTTAAATATGACATTTCATTGCAAGGAACAAAAATTTTTCAAATTATTTGCGCATTTTCAATAAAAACAATATATCTGGTAATTTTTAAAGTAAGATTCGGTACAATTCATAACTTCAAATAAAAAAAACATTTTTAAGTATCCTAGACCCTAGTTCTCAAATACAAAACAAGATCTCAGAAATGACATTTCATTGCAAAAAGCAAATATTTTCTGAAATTATTAGAGCATTTTTGATGAAAATAATATATCTCTCGAATTTTGAGAATTAGATTTGGTATAATCCACAATATTAATTAAAAATTTGCAAAACTTTAGGTCTGGAATCCAAAACTACTTGAAAATTGCATTCACATATATCGAGAATAAAGACAAAATTAGGCGCTCCAGAAGTATGTGTACCATGGAGGTAACTAATTTTGTTCTCCTATAGAAGTATGTGTACCATGGAGGTAACTAATTTTGTTCTCCTATTTTACATCAAGTTGTGTAAAGGGACTAAAACCTATGGGCAGGGGGTATACTTGGCTTAAAACAGAAAGTCCCCAACATGTAATAGAACCACCGGTAAAATAAGGAAAATCGGAATAAAATTATGGCCTAACCCTAACTTGATGCATATACTGCGAGAGTACCCAGAATTATAAAGATATAACTGGTATGAATGAAATTACCAGAGTGTCCATGAGTTCATTTCATAAATATTCAGCATAAAAATACACAAACAAAAAAGTTCATTTTCAAATGTGCGTAATTAATCTCTTAAAATGGTGAGGCAGCACTGGCAGAGACTCAAAAAATTCATTAGTAAAATAACAATCAGCCAATCTAATAAAAAAAACTCAGTGGCAACTATCAGACTCACAAAGTGACTCCCATCATCTAAATGGAATGAATCGAGCTCTTAATATTCTTCCAAAAGAGTAGTTTTTAAACAGGGTTCCAAATTCTAGAGTTTCGCCAGTGCAGTCAACAGATTCTCCAATTTCCATTCAAATCAGGGTTTCTATATTATTATATGTATATTGGTATAATATAGGGTGTCCATTAAGTCTCAAAATTATTTAAAACTGCAAAGGGAATTTATTGATACCATATATATTGTTTTGGCCCTCACAGATGTATTAAATGAATTAAAAATCTGTAAACAAGTACTGATTAAAAAACAACAAACCTGGTCAAGATATATTGAGAATTGAATTTATAACAAAATTGAAATTGTAAAGAGATATTATGGACACTCTGTATAATGAAATATCTATTATTGAACTGTTCTGCCAGAGCATTAGATTTGATTTCATATATATTTTTAGTTTATACAATATAAACAACTAAAATATAACCTCGAGTGTCTGGGAGGTTACATTCATGCACCACCGAAGATTGTGAATCGAATACCATTATAAACAAACATAGCTTTACAAGTGAAAATGATTATGAAATAACAAATAAAAACAGAGAAATAGTGAAAAAATATATACAAGAAAGATCATTGCGGAATTATTAAATGAGGAAAAAATAGTTCTTTAAAATATTTAAAACACAAACTAAGCAGATTGAAGTTGAAAAAGGAACAGTTCTTATATTGTATTTTTGATTGCTTATAGAAATGGTCCATTCCTTCATCTATTTGCGGAAAATATCACCTATATAGGCCCCCAGAAGAACTATTGATGTTCCTCAAAATGTATAAGGATAGTTGAATAAAGTAAGGCTGTATTAAGACACATTAGGACTCAATAACCAAAATTCATTTTCCACGGCTCCCCTTCACCCTGAAATGCTTTTTCATGATCTATTGTAATTTGTTCATCTTGTGTGCTTTCAGTTTGGTGAACAAAAATAAACTCCTGATTACATAAGGGTATAGGTATGCAGGAGCGTGTCCGTGTGTGAATTGAATATAGAAAAGTCGAAAACAACTTATCTATATGTGGAAATATCGGGGGGGTTCCAAGAAACTATTGATGTTTCTAAAAATGTATACAGATGGTTGAATATAGTTGGTTGAATTAAGACACAAGGGCATAAATATGCAAGAGTTAGGCATGTGTGAATTTCTTATGGGAGAGGTCAAAACCTTCCCCCTATTTGCGGGAATATAACTGATAGAGGGGCACAGGATGCTCCCAGACATCAATGTTAAAGCTAATGTTGAATTATAGACGCAGCAGGCAGAGGCAGGGATGGCCATAACCGAATACTTGATTATTTCGAATACATTCTAACATCCCCCACATAAATTGAATTCACAGTTTTAAAATCCAGGGGCACATGCATTAAATAATTGTAAAATGTTTTCATGCGGCGGCGCTAGAATGTGTGTGTAATATTCTGTATTCATGTGCGTGATATTTGGTATTCTTATAAACACGAAAAGCGATATTTGAATGTTGAATTAAACATCCCTGGGCAAAAAAGAGTAGAGTGTGCGAATTGGTCATAAAAAAAGATCCAAGGCCACCCATTTTATATGCGAATAAAAAAGGTTTAGGACCGCTCATTTATAGAAATAATACTTAGAGGGATCCAGAGGAGCTATGTAGATTCAGTGTTTGAATATAGATATAAGAGCATAAGAATGCAAGAGTTGAGTGTGTGCTTTTGAAGAAGATCTAGCCCCCCCCCCCCCCCCCCATCTCTATATGCAGTTATATCACTATGAAAGAGGTTCGAAGAGAATTACGGATGCTCCCAGAGATAATGCAGACCTAATGTTAGATTATAGACAAATAGTAACTATGCAGGATTTAAAATTTGCCGATATCTTACAGAAAAGGTCTCCAAGTCAATCATCTATGTGTATCTTTATATCACAGAGAGTTCCCTGCTCTTAGAAACGCCTGCAGTCTTAATGTCATGTTAAAATATAGACAGAAGAGTATACATGAGTTGAAAATGTACGAATGTTTTACGTACGTTTGCCGTCGCATCGGGCTACGGCTGCGATTTCTGTCGTTTTGTTGATGACCTCTATCAGCATGGGGATGACCTTGAGACTCAATCTTGTATTACGTGTAACTTGAACTTAATCAAGGGTTCAGTTCAAGGACTCTTATTCGAATCAGATCTATGAATTTAGTATTCAGGACCTCATTCTCAATTAAAATTGATATAATGATATTCGGAATGGAACATTTCTCACAAAGTTAAAAAAAAAATGCCAATTTTAGTTTTTAGAAACAAAATAATTCATAATTTTATTAAAAAAAGGCAAGTTTAACAAAAAAACTACTCCATGACATTAAAATAGTAATAGTTTTTTTTTTGAGAATAGAACAAATTATGTTGGACTTCCCTATTCCCAAATATAATTGTTAGGTTCAAAGTTTTGAAATTACTGCCACATTTTGGGCTCATGTTTTAACGTTTCATTCGAAAAATTGGCAACTTTTCTTCCGACTGTAATTGTATTTGATAGCTGAACAGTTTTTGAAAATGTGCCGTAATTACACGGCTCATTGAACAAGTTTAAAGATTTAGAATATGTGATATTATTTTAGAGAAAAACTGGAGATCATAATTAAATAGTTATAAATATGGGCCATAATTATAATTCTGCTATTTTTTAATGGTTTACTGGCTTCGCGCATTTATATTTACATTCCTATTTTTATATATATTTATTTGTGTTTTGAATATGGTTCTAGAGAAATAAATGACTTGCCTTAAACTACATTTTACTTTTCATATTTAAAAATCAATTACCTCATTTAATAGGGTGAATTCCTAAGGGTTTGCGGGGCGATAGGGGTTATGTAACGCCATTTGAGGGGGAAAACCGGGGTACATGGGGGCTTGGTGAGTATAAAGCCCAGAGCGATATAAGGGCTGCTGGTACAGAGCAGCAGCTAAATGGTCAGGGGGGAACATAACTGGAGGGCGGGTGTAGGGAGAAGCCGCTGCTGCTAACCCTGGGAGTAAAAAGTCAGGTGGACGTGAAAGCTCGGTCATTCTTGAGTGCTGAGGCTGTAATTGTTCTTGCAGGTATCCAGATAACGGGTGGGGTACAGCCCCACTAGGGATATGTGGGGCAGTTGGGTGTGGGGGTAACTTTGAATGTCCCGGTAAGTGTGACATCGAGTGTCCACTTGGGAGTAATGACGAAGGCTGTACACTTGGAACGTGAGATGAAGGATGACCATGAATGGATTGCGTTTGCCGTCGCATCGGGCTACGGCTGCGATTTCTGTCGCTTTGTTGATGACCTCTATCACCATGGGGATGACCTTGAACTGGACTCCTCGAACGATGACTAGTTGGAGAACGTCCCCGCAAACTTGGTACTTCTCTGTATCGGTCCCTATCTTCTGTATGCGTCCTCTTCCTGTCCCAATGCTCGCTTTGAGAAGATTGTCCGAGACCTCCGAAAGCTGCGTACTTGCTAGAAGAAGACTGATCTTTACTCCCACCCTGTGGGTGAGATTGAAACGCAGTACGCTGTGAGGAATTAGCACCACGAGCCACGAGATCCAATTTTTGAGAGGGATCACTACTTTGCCTCCTTTGGTGCTTGAGGATCTGCCAAGCCACAACTGCATGTGCAGCACACCAACGACCTTTATTCGGTCTACGAAACAGCGAACTTGTTGGGGCTTTAATTAAAGGTGGAGGGGCAAGCTGTTTTGGCTGGAACGCACCATGCAAATTAGAGGTAAAGGTACCAGGGTTAAGAAGAGGGTTAAATGGGGGCATTCCAAGATTTTGGTACCCCAAATTAGGACCGGCGGACGGGAGAGCCATCATAGGATCCACAAATGGGGCAGGTGTGTGTTGGCCGTATACAGATGAATTGAATAAATGGTGGTAGGGTGTGGGAAGGGCGTGTCCTGGACGGAAAGATGATGTTTGTTGATACTGTGGGGCTCTACTGGGGTAGGAAGGCGTGGATGGGTATTGTTGCTGTTCTGGGTAAGGCTGGGCAGTAATTGTATGTTGGTGGGTATGCTGGTGCGTGTGTTGGTGTTGATGTATCTCAGCACGCACTGTAGCTGGCTGAGGCGACTCACTCCCTTTCGCTGACGCCAAGAAACGACTGTTTAATTCCGCACGTAAATAGTTCTGTTGGTCATGAGCACCAATTGGGTTATAGAGTTGTAATGATTTTGACGGAGGGCTGCGCAGTTTCCCACTACTGCTATGAGTTGACTGTTGAGGAGTTGAGTTGTTGCGAGGGTATATTCTGCCAGAATGAGGACTAAGTCTAGGGCGACCACGATCTGGTGTTTCTGTAACCGGCCTTCCATAGATTGCGCTTGGTATTTTACCAGTATGGGTAGGGTCACGGGATGGATAAGTGGTAGTTGAACCGGTGTGGCGATGTAGTGGGGCTTGCTGTTGGTGGTGCCGCACAGCATGCTTTACATCTTGAGGTATATGGCGTTGGGCTGGCTGCGTACTGCTAAGTGGCGGAGCTTGCACTAATGGTGGGGGTGGGCGAGACATTTCTACCCTTTGTGATGTAATAGGTAAATGTTTATTACTTGACCCAGGTAATGATGCAGCGAAAGTCTGGTTTTTCGGCTTCAAAAATATTTTCGGAGCTGGCCTGAATAAATCCATATCAGAATTCTCCAGATCAGGCCCTTCACTAATTTCAGATTCGCCAAGATAGCCATCCCCGGCACTTGATCGCGACGTAACGCTCTCGCGAGAACTGCTGCGCTTCGTATGTGCTCTAGCACCGTTAGTAGATTCATTACTTGAATTAGGAATCCTTGTATCTATGTTTGAGGAGGAAGAAGAGTTGACGCAAACGTTTGCAGTAGATGAGTTGAAAGCCAGCTGCATATCCTCCATGGTTGAAAAACTTCGAATACTGAAAAATTAAGGTGCAAAGTTAGAGACGAATGTAATTTTTTTTTGTACATAGTATTTGTTAAATGTATATTTATTGTACTTCTGGCAACTAGCATTTTCCCAGATGGCTGAGCATGATCTGTGATGGTATGACCAACCAGCTGTGAAGCTGAAGTGACCAAGTGCTCTCTGGAGTCGAGTGCCCAGTACAGTCAGTGTGGCTAATGGGTTGCTTTGATTATTGAAATGGACATTTATAAAATATACATTTGAACTGAAATAACAAATGCACTTCGGAATGGCCAATATCGAATAATCGAGTTGTGTAAAGGGACTGAAACCTATGGGCAGAGGGCATCTTACATTTAAATTTTTAAAAAGTCACTGTTTTAGGGTCGTTTTTAGGGGGTCTGCTTATATGCAGTGAATTCTGACAGTTGTTCATAATATCAGTTTGTTATGAAATTATTTGGCAGTATATCCAGTTTTTTTTTTAATCAGTGTTTGTTTTTCGACACCAAGCATACATTCGAACAGGATTTGATGAACAATTCCCTCATGAATTTTTAATTTCCAATCATTTTAGATCAGTGTTTCCCAAAGTTGATTGACCGGTGGCCAAAATTAGAAGCTGAAGAATATCTGCGGGCCAGGAGAAGGGACCACTCGCAGGACTCTAATACCAATACCGGAACATATAATTAAGATATCGAATTGAGTTGTTGCGAATACACACATGCTTAAACTGTGATAGTGACGTAACAACAATAATAAACATAAAGTGTTAGGCCAGGCCAAATTAAATCGTTAAGTGGGCCGTAATTGATCCGTGGGCCACGGTTTGGGAACCACTGTTTTAAATTGTTTCATCGGTCAGGTGGAGAGAAAATTTTGCTAAAATATACAACTTTATGTTTGATGTTTTCAAATAAATTGGGATTACAGAATAAGGATAGCCTAGAAATTAGAAATTTGATAGAAAAAAAATGTAATGTGAGAAGAAATTTCAGAAAGAAATAAAATCATATTAAAGTGAATAATTTTGTGTTTGATGAACTTTTTTGAAATAGAATGACATATACTGGGTGTCCAAAACCCTTAGCCAGATTTTATAGTAATAATAATTGAAAATTGCTTAGTGTGCATGTCGTTTTCATTTGTCATACAATAAAATTTATTTAAACTGACAATTGTCATTACTATAAAATTAGTCAAAATTTTTAGTGGTCCAGACCAACACCTGCAGCATCATTATCTGTGGCCTGCGTCACATTTGCTGAAGAGTAATCAAAGATCTCATTTGGTGTTGTTTCGTTTTAAAAATACCTCATCACTTGAGACATTGGCACATCACTAATGTCATTGAATTCCTTAGTGCACAGGTGGGCCCATAAGGACATTTTCAAGTGGGCCGCAAGCTTATTAAAAATTACTATGGTTATTGAAAAGATTAGTTTCATTTGTGTCATTATAGTCAATTTTTCATTGTAACTAAGCAATGAATGATGCTGCTGCTTTTCATTCTAATTATTAAAGTAAAAGTACCCATTTTTGCAAAAAAAATCATGATTTTCTTGTAGTTTTGCCCTTGCATGAGAAAGTTAGTGGGCCGCAGTATTATTATGCAACGAAAGTGGGCCACGAAAGAAAAAAGGTGAAAGAACCCTTAGTGTAATGACTAGTCGAGGCAACCAGCGAAAATGAATAGTGTGCTTTGCTAGACAATATTGTTAGCATAGCAAAATTTCCCGAGTTGTTATTGTTAACTTGATTTCTACCTTACCGGTCACTAATATCCGTTAACAATATTTCAATAGCCTTCATAAAAAACTAAAAATAGAATGAGGAATCTATAATCCTAGGTTGACTGTGCCTTTTTATAGATGTTATGGCATAACAATATACTCCCTGTCTTTTACAACCAGCCTGAACACCGAACAGCAACACAAAAAATGTTGCTTACATATGTAGGAAAATTGTATGTAGTAATTACCATCCTGTACCTCACATTTGGCTAAATTCAGAAATCAATGCATTTGCAGTGATTTGTAGGGTATTTTTTGAACACGACCAAATCAACCAGATATTCGCACTAATCAAATTTGGGTGCTCCCGAAGTATGCGAACCAAGATGGCGGACATCGGAACGTAACATGGGTAACAGGTTAGGGTTAGGCGATAATTTTTTTCCAATTTTCCTTATTTTAGTCCTATTATCAGTTCGAAGACTAGCCAAGAGCCTCCCGTAGTATTTATACCTAAAATTATGGCCTAGCCCTTACCTAGTACACATATTACATTCCGATGTCCGCCATCTTGGTTCGCATACTTCGGGAGCCCCCAAATTTGTTTGTACAAAAAAGATTTTCAATTTTATGTTGAGCTGTTCACCTATTCTTGCACTAGGTGTGGCTCGCAAACATTACAAAAATAATTTTGTGGCCTCAGTTGTTGACAACCTTGGAACCACTCTGCTACAGAATAATTATATTTCTAGATACAAGCCAGATTTATATGACATCATCACAAATCGTAAATTTGGAAATGGTTTGAACCCTATTTTCGTATTTATAAAATAATAAAAGTATTATTACACAAACATACAACGGCGATCTGCGGACTTAAAATGTGTGGTAAAGTTTCCGAATATAATGACTTTTTGATTCGTATTTTTGTACTCACGAAAAAATTGTCACAAGTCTGAAAAAGAACTCATACTTTATCCCGCTTTTTGACAAATAATTTGGATAATGGTTCGTATTTAAAAGTATGGGCGTTTACTAGGATGATTTTGTGTTGCGCAAGCGTTCAAATCCATCACCGATACCACTATTTAAAATGCCTTGTCGTATTATTTTAATTCTGTTAATTAACACAACTCATGTTATATAAAATATATTTCGCAATAATCTGCAAACATGAAATGCCTGGTAATATAGCCAGGTTGTAGATAGAAGTTATTCCATTGTTTATTGTATGAAAATTCCTTCATACACTTAGATTCTATTACTGGATTTTATTTTCGAAGTATTCGAAATTTCATATTCGAAAATAATAATTTCGAATGTATTCGAAATAGTGAACTATTCGGTATTGGCCATCCCTGGCCGCAAGTCTATTAAAAATTACTATGGTTATGGAAAAGTTTAGTTTCATTTGTGTCATTATAGTCAAATTTTTATGGTAGTAGCATTGAATGATGCTGCTGCTTTTCATTCTAATTATTAAAATAAAAGTACCCATTTTTGCAAAAAAAAATCATGATTTTCTTGTAGTTTTCCCCTTTCATGAGAAAGTTAGTGGGCCGCAGTATTATTATGCAACAAAAGTGGGCCACGAAAGAAAATAGGTTCAGAACCCTTAGTGTAATGACTAGTCGAGGCAACCAACGAAAATGAATAGTGTGCTTTGCTAGACAAAAATGTTTGCATAGCATAATTTCCTGAGTTGTTATTGTTAACTTGATTTCTACCCTACCGGTCACTAATATCCGTTAACAATATTTCAATAGCCTTCATAGAAAACTAAAAATAGAATGAGGAATCTATAATCCTAGGTTAGGTAGGTATATATTATGGCATAACAATATACTCCCTGTCTTTTACAACCAGCCTGAACACCGAACAGCAACACAAAAAATGCTGTAGGAAAATTGTATGTAGTAATTACCATCCTGTACCTCACATTTGGCTAAATTCAGAAATCAATGCATTAGCAGTGATTTGTAAGGTATTTTTTGAACACGACCAAATCAACCAGATATTCGCACTAATCAAATTTGGGTGCTCCCGAAGTATGCGAACCAAGATGGCGGACATCGGAACGTAACATGGGTAACAGGTTAGGGTTAGGCGATAATTTTTTTTCAATTTTCCTTATTTTAGTCCTATTATCAGTTTGAATACTAGCCAAGAGCCTCCCGTAGTATTTATACTTAAAATTATGGCCTAACCCTTACCTAGTACACTACACATATTACATTCCGATGTCTGCCATCTTGGTTCGCATACTTCGGGAGCCCCCAAATTTGTTTGTACAAAAAAGATTTTCATTTTATGGTGAGCTGTTCACCTATTCTTGCACTAGGTGTGGCTCGCAAACATTACAAAAATAATTTTGTGGCCTTAGTTGTTGACAACCTTGGAACCACTCTGCTATAAAATACTTTTATTTCTAGATACAAGCCAGATTTATATGACATATCACAAATCGTAAATTTAGAAATGGTATTCTTTTGCATTGTGTTGTAGGTCAGGATAAGTTAGTTTCAATGGTAGGGGCTATTCAAGTAGCAGTTTTTGTTCAAACTATTTTGAATGTTTTGCAATTGGAAAAATCTATCCTTGGCTTAGCATGCAGAATCCGATAAAAATTCCATCACAAAAGGATAAAATTCAATTATTTAACATTGTTTAATTTTAGTTCTAAGCTTCTAACTACATTGAAATAAGTTGGTATCTTACAATATTTAGCCATAGGAGTGTAAATTCTATGAAAATTTCTTTACAAAACTAACTATACCAATATTGGTCCAAATTATGTTGAAATGAGACCATAAAAACTCAGTCTCAGACGAGCAAGAATTATATGAAATTGAAAAACAGAAAAATTTGTATCCAACCTGAATCCATCTATTATATCTTCATCAGCATCAATGATCTTGGTCTTAGGTTCCAATTTGGGAACAATTTGAGCAGGTTTTGTTTTAACTTTCCGTCTTTTACGTCTCAGTTTTCGACGCTTTCTAACTTTCCCATGTGCTTCCTGCTCATCAGAGGAAACTTGATGTAACCGCTTAGCTTTTGCTTCCCGTTTAGATCTAGCTGTTTTGCGCTTGAGCTTCAGTTTTTTAGCGTTCGGCTTCATGTTTGGTCCGATCAAGTATATCCAGAAACAGTGAATGTAACTACAACTACTTAAATGAAATATTGTTAGCCATATTTCTGAAAAAATATAACAAGCTTAGTCCGTAGTTAAGCATAAATCACAATTCATTTACTTGAACAATAATTTACCCACTGTATGAAAAGAAAGTATATGGTGAATAACAAATACTAATAAATATATACACAAAGAAAAGCAAAACAGTACTGATAACACACTGTGTAACGAAAAAACTTATTTTTTTCCCAGCTTTTGTGAAAAAATGTGTGTTACACTGGTGCACTAAGGTTACTTTCGCCCAAAACACTACAGCACTAGTCCGCTATGATATGATACTTCAAGGGTTGGTATTTGATATGATTTGAATTTTTTGGATTGATCCACAAAAACAACACTAGGTTTGGTAACACAATCGGCACATTTTTATCCTTAGGGAAATTTGCTCAAACCAATACTTTGAATAGACAGAAAGATTTACAAATAAAACTCTGAAAAGACCAGGAATGTGTAAGAAACCAAGGCAGTGGCAAAGGTCAATAAAAAACCGGAAAGAAGTGACTGGAAGCATCTAGCGTCCATAAACAGTTCAAACCCATAAAATAATAATATATGTAATAATTATTTCATCATGATGTGATAAAGTGAGAAAATGAACATTATTTATTCATAAAAAATAAAATTCCATAAGCAAAGGATGTCACAGAAAACATTGACAGTTATCGAGGTGCGGCATGTTGCTAGTCTTGAAACTGTGAACTATTGAAAGTGTAGAGAATAAAAAAAGCAGATGGCAATTTTTAATAAGTTAGTGGAATAATAAAATGTTAAAAATAAGCAGATATTTTAAAAACCGTTGTACCGGTATCGATTTGGCTTCAGATTTAGAGATGTGGTCATTCATAGATATAGTTTATTCGAATACGGTACTCCATAATATACAAAAATTTAAAATGGAGAATTCTGGAGGGCGAGCAAAACCTTTAAAAAAGTTTAAAACATGAGAGATATCATTTGCCTGCCCACCAGCACACACACACACACAAATATATTACAAAAACACAAACATAGTTAAACAAGGCTTGGGCAAGAAATAATCAAACGAAAGATACCGGTACTCGAATGTATTACAGTATTGAACTTCTGGGCTGTTATACTTTCTGACTTTTGAAACACCTTAGCTATTGCAGTAATAATGACCAATTCAATATGCACAGAATATGCCAGCAATACCGTACGCGCTGTTAATTTAATGTTTATTTTGTGATATTGCGATAAACCAAAAATCTTCAGCGTCAAATGTAAACTTTGATCATAACATCGCTGTTGTGGATTTTGACCCTTCAGAATTTCAACATGCCTTGATTTTACTTTTAATATACCGGTACGGTATCCAGAGGTATCGTACCCTACCTATTTAGTCTACGGTACCGGTACGGTACTTGACTACCAGTACGGTACCGTACCGCTACCGTAACACTGTTACGGCAAGGTACCGGTACCGGTACGGTATAAAAATAGTGGTCTGAAGGTACCGGTATAACTGAAGCTACCGGTATTATGTTACCTTACGATATGAATTATAACAACCGGTATAAAGCACTTCAAAACACAAATTAACCACAACTCTATAACTACCAGGAAATTAAGCCACAAAACAAACCAAGAAAAATCCTAAAACAGACTAGTTAAGAGAAACGACCCGTAAATTAGCCCTCGTTTGTTCGCCGCCTTGAGGAAATGCCAATGATTCATTTGCAAAACACTCAGTGGTCATACTAAATTGCGGAAATTTAACGACGACTGGAAACATTTAAAATAAATCAAAAATTTTTAATATTTACTGATTAAAGAGAATTATGTTCAATCCAGCGATAAAATAACTATTTTAACACAAAGAAATATAAATTACATATGGCATCATATAATTTCAATTAATCTTAATCCATGTGTCACAAACGAAAGGAAAAAGGGATGCATTTTGATGTCATAATAGAATAAATCCAAGCAAGTGGCCATATCCGTTTCGAATTGAGCAAAACGTTACTCGCATGACTGTGTAATGGTATTTTTAAAGAGTTTACGATAATTATTTGAAATCTTAGTCGAGTCAGATGAAGTACTGTGGCGGCTAGCCTGGTATGCGTCGTTAAGAATAAAAGCAGAGAATACTTTTCTCCCTGTCAATGGTATCAGTTCAAGCCGGGCACTGTATTACTATTAGTTGAGCAGATTCCGGTATTCGTTTCGGAAATGCGTCAGCGCTTACCAGAAACTTTCTGTCAGAGCTAGGAGTTCTTTCTTCCAGGAAATCAGAATTGTGATGAGACCGTTCGACGATTAACACTTGTGCCAACATGGACTGATGCGTATCTCGGCCAATAAGAAAATAGTGGCATAAGGACACAATTTACATATTTATCCCCGTGGAAAAGAAAGCCGACAAGACGGTTCAATCATAGGGCAGGAGTTTCCAACACGCGGCCCGCAAAAAACTGAGCGTCGTGGCTGAGATTTTTCAAGAAAAAAAGCACAGAATATTATATGAGAAGATCTGTATTTTGTGTGAAATTACAATAACAAGGTTGACTGTATCATATGTTCTGCAATTATTGCTGTTCGAAAATATTACAACACCCCACGACATTACGGCTCATTTTACCAGTACACAGGGAAAATACCATGTCTTTACTGAAACAATTCGTCACAAAAAGTTGTCGCAATTAAAATTTCAGATTCAGATGAAACAGAGAATATTTTTCCCAGACGTAAATAAAACTTGTGAAGATTCGGTGAAAGCAAGTGCCCTTTTGTTGAAGAAAACTTTATTAAAGAGTGTATGTTGAAGGCTTGTGAAGTAATTAGCTGCAATTCGTTTTAACAATGAAAGTTAACAACAGCCTTTCGCATACGACTAACGGACTAGAGTTTGTATGCTCTCTTAAGACTAAGGATGCCAAGTATGAGTACTTACAAGTATTCGATTCTTATCCGATTCCGAATCTCGATTCCTCGACATATTACTGAAAAAATATACCCAGCCAAGCAATAAGGCATATGAAATCAAGCAAGACAGCGATGTTCAAATTCTGGACGGACAAGAAGGCCGAAACTAAGTAGTATGGGTATCCAATCTGCCATAGGAGACAAAACCGCACAAAAGAAACCGAATCCCTCAGAACCCACAGAGATTTTTAAAATAAATAAACGTTAAAGCCTACTCGCGATATTTATAATATATATATTATATATAGTGAAGTTTGCGGTGTCGTAGCAACTCAACATAGCAGTGAAGCAGTTTATACCAGTGGCGGCGCGTTAATAAGGGCCAACCTGGCCAATGCCCCGGTTGTTTTTTCGGTATAATAAAAAATATTCGAAAAATACCTCAATATCGGTTGCACAGACTGTCTACACTAGCCATATTCTCCCGACATGGTTCATTTTTCGCTCGCAAAGCCTTCTCCGAACGTCGACGGGGCGACGCCGATTTTACTCCGGTTGCTCATTGTATATCGTATTCTCTTTTTTATCTTCCACTCGCCGCGTTTGTTTTCTGTTTCTTTTACTAAATCATCGGGGCTAGCCCCGAAATTATGACGACACAATGCCGACGTTTCTTACAACAACGTGTTGACATATTCACGCATTCCTTCTCGTTCGTTGGTTGCTTGAAGAGTTGATAGTTTTCTCGCCTTCGTTTTTGTCGCTTGTTTCGCTATTTGAATCAGTTAGAACCTTTACTCCATTTGCTTTCGATTTTCCACATTCCTTTTGAGCTCCTCACTTCTTTCCGGCTTCGCATTTCTTAGCCTTAGACCTCATAATGAATAAGGTTGATGCACTACTTCGCACTCCGTTTTCGCAGCTGCCGCTGGAACAAAAATTAGAGGTACAACGTCTTGGGGCTTATCAACCAAAAAATTGTTCACTGGAACAATCCCATGACGGAGGAAAGCGTCGGCGTACATTCTGCGCAGAAACTTGGTATAAAAAACACGAATGGTTGTGTTACAGCGAGGACAAAAATGCACTTTTTTGTTTTTATTGCCTACTTTTTGCTACCGCCCGTGACTCACGTTGGTGTAAATTTGGTTTAGAGATCTTAAACATCTTTCCGAGCGTGCCAGGGATCATCAATCTTCCATGGAGCATCTGGACAATGCAGTAAAATACCGAACATTCGGAAATGTTAATATTGCAGTACAGTTGGATGAAGGACGCGCGGTTTCTATTCGTCGGCATAACCAAAACGTCGAGAAAAACCGCCATGTTCTCGGTCGATTGATAGATGTTTTGAAGTTCATTGGTTGTCACGAGCTGTCCCTCCGTGGGCACGATGAATGGGCTGGCTCTTCTAATAGAGGGGTATTTTTGGATATGGTGGAATACACCGCATCCCTAGATACAGTATTGAGAGATCATCTTGATGCCGCAACTGTTTCGAAAGGGACATCTAAGGATATCCAAAATGATTTGCTCGACTCAATGTATAAAATTTATTTACAACATTTGGCTCTGGAAAATGAGAATTGCCAGTTCCTTTCGATTCAGTCTGACGAGACAACTGACATCACGTGCGTTTCCCAACTGGCTGTGATTTTTCGGTTTGTGAAAGATGGTAAACCTACCGAGAGATTTCACAGCTTTGTACCAATCGTTGATCGCACGGCTTGCGGGATATAGGCTGTACTGAAAGAAGTGTTACAGCCTTACAACGCGAAGTCAAAATTGATAGCTCAAACTTATGACGGCGCGGCAGTCATGAGTTGGTCGAAACATGGTGTTCAAGTTTATATAAAAGAAGATTTTCCTCATGCGCATTTTTTACATATTATGCACACCAATTTAACATCGTTAATAAAAATATGTGTCTTGATACCCCTCTCGTTTCCGTTTCGCCGAAGCGCTCTGACCTCCTTCCAGTGGCGTAGCCAGCCCACAATTTGGGGGGGGGGCCAAATTTGAAAATTTTAGAAATTATATTGGGCTCAAAACACCCGTTCTTCAAGCGCAAAACAACAACAGTTGGTCAACAAGCAAACTGATTCAATTACTCAGCT